CGGAAACGCCGTCTGGAGAATAAGATGGCGAAAGACATGCGGCATCAGTGGCAGTCAAAAATCACGGAAGACGTCTTTTGCAGCGAAAGTGGCGCCTACCTTGGTTCTGGATCCAATTGAAGACCTCGTCCCACGGCGAAGTATCGGCCATGAAGCTGACAAATGGCGCAGAGACGTGCTCGTGCATAGCGAAATGCAGATTCTCGTGCAATGCCGACTGTGGGAGATGCAGCGAAGGCGTCATGTTTGCGCGGCCTGAGAATCGTAGCGGACTTCTTCTTTCGACGTACTTGGCGCGATGCTTTTGCTTGGGTCATCTTCAAGTCACCGAACATGCTATCCACCAACAATTCCACCTTAGCGTTATACGAATCGACCTTCTCGAAGACCTCCTTGGGTGCGGCCGCATCGAAGACCTCGCTCGTAGCTTGGACTAGACTCTTGTACTCTCGCACCGAAGCTTGAGCGTCCCGGAGATCCTGCTGGCAGCGCTTGAGCGCTCGAGCATCCCGTTCTGAGTTGCTTCGATAGAGCTCTGCCTGCAATCTAGCTCGTTCTAAGCTTTCCTCCCACTTCGTCTTGGACAGCCTAACACATTCGTTTGCTGCTTGAACATGTTTGTTTGCTGCTCGAACATGGTACTCGAGAGCCTCCTGGCAATCGCGGGCAGTATGCAGTCGACGCCCGCAGAGAGTCAGCAAAGCTCACTCATGAACAGGGATAGTTCTAGCTCACCTCCGGTACCGGTCTCGTGCTCACAGTGAACGCTTTAGGTGAGCGTTCCGACAGGGAGCTTTCCGACATGGCGCCCTCCCTGCTCTTCAAAGTTGCAAAATTGCAAGCACAGGGTCTGGCTTTCGCTCTACAAAGCCTGAAATGCGTCCATCCAATCCGATATCCGAGTCTTGAGAGCCGGCGCCATGAATCTTCAAGAAGAGGCGAAGAGAGCGAGGCGCTGTGGGCGACTCACTCCCCTTCAAGCGTGAGCGGCTCACGGCCGTCACTTAAGACAAAAAAGCACATTCAAATATCAAAGATCTGGTGCGGTGCTCCACCTCAGAACCCTTTGCAGCTGCACCGGTGTGAGTGCACTGTGCGCAGACAGATAGCAAATACATTGACTGAAGTTCTGTCAGTCACCCAATCAATTTGGGCAGACAAGTGATCCGGGCAATGATTGCCTGTCAAGGCGCGCAGGCCCGCTCGGTTCGTCCTGGTCAGCTAGTCAAATCAAAAACGTCGAAGTACACACTCTCTGCTTTACACTCAAGATGATTAGGCGCAGGCTCTGCAGCAGCTCGATCCGAACCAAGGCTTCGTTTCACTCAGCGTTTGGGGACTTGCAGCGCCCTGCTGGCGAACCGAGATCGAGGCGCGCTGCCAAGTGTGATCACCTTTCCATGCCTTTCATCTGGAGTTCAAATCCAGGAGAGCTGAGATTGGGGCTCCTCGACCTCACTTCGCAACTCGCTTCATCAGCGGCTCTTGGACTCCAGAATCACAGAGCTTGCTTCACTCAGAGTGGAGAAGCCCGTGAACTACAAATGGGGGATGATTTCCTTCATGCCACTCAGCATGACAGAGGCACCGTGGACCACGTTACACAACGGCCCCGCTTCGTCTCACGTTCAACGATCGCTCCCACGAGAGCTTGCTCTATCGCTTACCCACACCGCAATTCGTCAATATGCCGAACCCTCAAGTGCCTCACAAAGGACCCAAGGAGCTGATCATCGCCCTCGACTTCGGCACCACCTACTGTGAGTCTGCTCAGATCTTCCGCCTAGATTCTCCTTAAGAAAGTCTCACATTCTTGGAGCAGCTGGCGTCGCCATATGTCTCCTTAACCCAGGAGAAGTGCCCGACCCCCGACCGGTAATGCCCTGGCCCGGTCAGTGGAATCGATGGCTTTTAGTGACATGCTGCTCAAAATTTGCCTCTGGTAACCTTCAATACGACGTGCAGGCGTGGGCTGGGCAAAGTTTGCGTCAATCGTGTATTACACAACAGCGAATGGTGGCTTGCACGCATACGGGTCTGCAGACGAGCTAGAGAGCACCGAGATCGAGGACGCGCTTGCTGCAGGAGAGCTAGAGGCAGCTCGCAATTTCAAGCTATGCTTGTGAGTGCCGAGTTACTGTGGCATTCAGGCGCGGTTGACACAACGTAATTTGCCCAGGAATCCTGATCATATTGAGGTCCAAGGTCTCGACGATGTCAAAACCCTCGTCAATCTGCCATGCAACAAGCAGGCCGTCCGTGTGACTGCTGACCTGTTGCAGCTAGCATGGCGCGACCTCCAGTCTTGGATCGCCAAAAGAGGCGGTATGCTCGACATTGCCATGAAGCAAGGGGTGGACATCAAGCTCACGATGAGCCACCCCAATGGCTGGGAGGTGCGTTGTTGGAGCTAAGGTCAAATGCTCAACAACTCAGGTGGACGAGCATTTCTCGCACGCAGGGCTCCCAGCAATCCGCATTGCGAAGAGCGTGCGAGATGGCAAAGATAACCTCTTCTCCAGATCATAAAGTGGAACTCACCTTCATCGCAGAAGGAGAGGCTTGTTTACACTTTGTCTCCTCGCAGCTTGAAGATGAAGACGTGGTAGTCGTTGTTGACGCCGGGGGAGGCACTATCGACATTTCGTGAGTCGCGTGCAATGGCTTTCGACTTCGCGACGCGGGAAGCACAGCAACTCAACCACATCACGTCGGCAGTACCTATGAATGCTCGAACGGTGTGTACAACGAGGTAGCGTTACCGGACTGTCTCTACGCTGGCTCGATCACCCTTGATCAAGCGGCCAAAACTCTGGTAGACAGTCTCCTTGAAGACACAAGCGCTCGAAACCGCGCCTACAAGGAGTGGAAACGAGTAAAGCTACTCCTTAAGGAGACCACGAAGGATGTCACGTTGAGCTTGTACATGGACGAGGATACTACCCCTCCTCCAAACACGACTCGGCGCAACGCGCCCGCGCACGTGAAAGGCAGCGACCTAATCATTACAAAGTGAGAGTGCGACAATGCAGGAAATATCGACGTCTTCCTGACCCTTCCGTATCCCTGTCTCTAGAGCAGGTATCAAAGACATCTTCAAATCGAGCGTAGACAGCACTGTCTCGAGCATACTGGAGAAGATGGACTACTGTGCAAACTTGCGCGAGGCACTTCAAGTCAATCGTGTAGTATTCCTCGGAGGATTAGGGGAATCCCAATACTATCGCTCTGAGGTGAGAGACGGACGCTAGGAAACGGTCGATTACGACGTTGACTTCTCTTTCCACTCAGGTTGAAAAACGCATAATTGCCTCTGGCGCCTCCCGAGTAGCATTCTGCAAAGCTGACGAAGCACACTCGAAAGCCGTAGCCTTGGGTGCGGCTCGCGCAGCAGCTTCGAATATAGTGGAACTGTGAGGGCGGCCCGTGACTACTATAATCGCACATCACTGGAGACTTCACTTCACTCAAATTTCTACGCGTGCACCATGCAGACACATCGCGCCGATGCACTTTGGCATCGAGGTACAGATGGAATTTGACGCTTCGAATCCGGAACATCGTCTACGGGCTCACAAGAAGTATCAAGACCCTGTGACTGGCAAGTGGTTTCTTGGAGGCATTTTCTCACGCCTCATCAGCAAGGTGAGTCACATATTTTGCTAAAACGTGAGGACGGCATTGACCTCCGCGTTGATCATGACAGGGAGAACGGGGCTCAAACAACGCAGGTCCGAGTGAGCCTTTCTCGATCACCACTTGGACGGACAACGTCGCGTGCACAGATGACGAGGTATTCGCGTTCCGAGGTCATGAGTGTCCAGAATGGCTGGACGAGGGGAATTTGTGAGCATCCACTTGGGGCAGTGTCGGAGTGTCAGAAAAACAAGACTTCGCTGACAGTATCGTTGTGTAACCTTTCAAGCGACAAGCTCCTACGAGTTCGACTGGACATTGCGCGAGAAGATTTCGAATGCGAGGCAAAAGTCAATGCGGAGGGTCTTGAGGTCTACGAGTGGAACTATGAGCTGCAATTCTGCCTCTTTGGTACCGAGCTCGAGGCTGTCTGCTCTCAAGGAAGCAAAAGGTGAGTCGAATGTGTGGCAATCAGTCTCAGGAGGCGTCTCTCTGATCTAGTGCTCGTCTCTAGCTGCAAGTTCAGAGCCAGTCATCCAGGAATTGTTGCCGCAGCCAAGCGATTCACGAAGCCGGTACAACAGGCGAAATCCAACAAGCGCCCTCGACGCAAGTGAAGCTCTAATCCGACCCACTCAACCACTCAAACAATTCAGATGCTTTTGTAAAGATGCACCACAAGCTTAGACCTGCAACAAACCAAATCGAAGAAGACTGGGTCATCAACGACGGTTCGCCGAAAGTTGGAAGCACGTGTATAATGTCCCGGTCCCCATGAATGCAGACTTGTCGTCCGTTGCGCCCCTCTCAGAACTTCAGACTGTCAGCACGACAATTGCGTTCGCCATACGCAGACGGTGCAGGTCCTTCGTGAGTGCAACGACGAGCCCAATGAAGTTTCTACGAAGCGCTGCAACTTTCTCAAGTCACCGTGTACCACAAAACAAACAATCAAGAATCACGAATGAAAGCGCAGAGACGCGAGCGCAATCTTCACGCACTTGCGTGGCAGCCAAAGCAAGCATTAGCGCGCATGACTGCGGACGACATGGGGATCAGCATCTTGAATACTTCATACCATACTCGGGTGACGAACAACTTGTATCATGAAAGATGAGCTATGCGCCGGGTAAGTAAACGTATACAGGTCCATGCGTCTGCCCCACGTGATAAGATTCCCATTCACATTCACGATTGAGGCACATCCCTCATGTGTCTCACCCTTCGCGCAGACCCATGCAGGCAGACTGGATGTAGATGTTGCATATAACTCGTGCGCGTGGTCACGCGTGGCGCCCCACAATGTGGCCAAACGGTCTGCAGTCGAGGGCGCCATTCTTGATTTTCTCATTCGACCTCTCGAGGGTCACGGTGGTTCCGGCCAACCGTTCTTCTTCAAGGAAGCATTGAATGTCGTCAAAGTGGTCTTGCATGGTGGAGTCTGTTGGCATTGCGCGTTCGAAACACCAAGCGGCAACAGCGTGAACATGCGTGATCATTTCAAAGGCGAACGTTCGAGTACCGGCACACATCTGATCAAAATGCGCCACCTTATGGGTGGATGGCAAGGCTTTGCTCGCGAGGTTTACCTTGGGGCCACATCATGGGCTTTCGTCATCATCAAGGCGTAGAGGCGTCTTTTCTGGAAGGTACTTCCACCTCAACTCCCGTCATCCTCTCTACTTGTGCTCGTGAGTCTTCGTTGGATGGTTCTGCTCGCTCGATTGACCTCGGGTCGCACTCCTCATTTGTGTCGCCGTCCGTGCTGACTTCTGCCTCAGATTCAGACGAGGACAGGCTTGATGTTTCCATTGGGTTGTTCTTGCTTCCGAGCGGC